ATTTTCCCCTCACAATTTTCCCCTCACGATTTTCCCTCACGATTTCCTCTCAAGATCTTCCCTCACGATTTTCCCTCATCATTTTCCCCTCACAATTTTCCCCTCACGATTTTCCCTCACGATTTCCTCTCAAGATCTTCCCTCACGATTTTCCCTCATCATTTTCCCCTCACAATTTTCCCCTCACGATTTCCTCTCACGATCTTCCCTCACGATTTTCCCTCACGATTTCCTCTCAAGATCTTCCCTCACCATTTCCCCTCACAATTTTCCCCTCACGATTTCCCCTCACGATTTCCCCTCACGATCTTCCCTCACGATTTTCTCTCAAGATCTTCCCTCACGATTTTCCCTCATCATTTTCCCCTCACAATTTTCCCCTCACAATTTCCTCTCACGATCTTCCCTCACGATTTCCCCTCACGATTTTCTCTCAAGATCTTCCCTCACAATTTTCCCTCATATTTTCCCCTCACGATTTTCCCTCATCATTTTCCCCTCACGATTCTCCCCTTATGATTTTTCCCTCAAGATTTTCCCCTAACAATCTTCCCCTCATGATTTCCCCTCATGATTTTCCCCCCACAATTTTCCCTCATGATCTTCCCTTATGATTTTTCCCTCACGATTCTCCCCTTACGATTTTCCCCTCACCATTTTCCCTCACGATTTTCCCCTCACCATTTTCCCTCATTATTTTCCCCTCATGATTCTTCCCTTATGATTTCCTCTCAAGATCTGCCCCTCATGATTTCTCCCTCACGATTTTCCCTCATTAATTTTCCCTTGATGATTTTCCCCTCACAATCTTCCCTCACGATTTCCCCTCACGATTTCCTCTCAAGATCTTCCCTCACGATTTTCCCTCATCATTTTTCCCTCACGATTTTCCCTCACGATCTTCCCTCACCATTTTCCCCTCATGATTTTCCCTCATCATTTTCCCCTCATCATTTTCCCCCCACGATTTTCCCTCATCATTTTCCCGTCACGATTTTCCCTCATCATTTTCCCCTCAACGATCTTCCCCTCACGATTTCCCCTCATGATCTTCCCTTATGATTTTCCCTCACGATTTCCCCCCTTGTGATTTTGCCCTCATGATTTTCCCTCCTTTCCCTCACCTTTCTCCCCGCTCCCTCCCAGCACAAGCTCTCCGCCAAGGCCGTGGCCGCTCTGTCCTCCCTGTACGGCACCAGCTACACGTACGGGAGCATCATCACCACCATCTGTGAGTGCCTCCCCAAAAATCGCCCCAAAACCCACCCAAAGCCCATCCCTCACACCATGGCCAGGATGACACATCCCATAAAATCCCCTCCCGTCATTTCCCTCAGACGAAGCGAGTGGAGCAACCATCGACTGGACCTACAACCAGGGCATCAAATATTCCTTCACCTTCGAGCTGCGGGACAC